TGGCGACCCCCAGGGGGAGGGCCTTCTCTGTTGGAGCCCCCTCCCTATGGAACGAATTACCCCCAGAGATCCGGGTCATTCCGGATCTCCCCTCCTTCCGCCGCGCCCTCAAGACATGGCTATTCCAGCTAGCGGGACTGGCCTAAGGGATATTTTAATTTGATTTTAATTTGATTTTAATTTGGTTTTTAACATAATTCTAAAAAGAAACGGCAAAAAAAATCAATATTTCATTTTAATTGTATTTTAAACTTAGTATTTTGTATGGTTTGTCTGTTTTTTAACTTGCTGTAAGCCGCCCTGAGTCCGCCAGGAGAAGGGCGGGGTATAAATTTAATAAAACCTAAACCTAAACCTAAACCTAAACGATATGAAACTGTACTAGTCTAAACCTTTCAAGCAACTTCTTTGGATCATTCCCAGTTGTTGAGTTTTCAGCAAAGGAAAAAAAAATTGTCTCTCTGGCCATTTTCTCCACATTGTCAATGATTTTATATACCTAGTCATCCCCACTCCCCGTTTCCTTTTTCTTGATAAAGAGTTCCAAGTGTTCTAATGGTTTCTCATACTGAGGGTATTTGAATGCCTTAATTATTTTTGGTTGAATATTGTCTATTGGTTGATGTTTAGCCACTTGAAGAGTTCCTTCTGGAGCTCTTCACAAACATTTTTGGTTTTCCCCACCATTTGTTATTATTTGCACACTTGAGATGCTTGGTACTTATCCAGGGTCAAGATCATTAGGAACAAGTTAAAAACCACTTGTTTCAACACAGACACTTCAGGGACTCCACTTCTTACACCCTCCATTGGGAAAAATGGTCCCTTTATTCCTAGACTTTGCTTTGCTTTATTAATCATCCATACAGACACACATTATTATCCTATCTCATGGCAACTAAATTTATTTAGGAGCAGTTGTAAAGTTTCCTTTACAACACTAATTCCTAAGCACTCTGCATTTCTTACTCAGACAGGAATGGTTCAAACGTGCTTTACTAGAGGTTTTCTTCTTATAGTATTTATGTCCTAGCTTTCTGGAGTCAAGGTTTGGCATTGGGGCAATTGAATCAGTTAACATGTATATCTTTCTAATTCTTTTTAGGTGGTGATGCAAAGTTGCTGGTGATATTGTGTGTCTCTCCAAGCCAGAAGTACATAACAGAGTCACTTCAAACCCTAGGATTTGGGTCCCGTGCTCGGAAGGTTCAGAGACGGCATGCCAAGAAAAGAAATGAACTGGCACTGAACAAATCCAAATAAGGCATAAGCCGTCTGTGGATTAAAACTTTATTAATGAGTTCCTCAGATTGAAAAATAATCTTGTTATAAAAATATATATAAATTGCCTTTTAAAATAAGTACTCTTTAATGCAGTACTGGCAAGACATAAACATGCTAAGCAATATTAGTTGCAAAAATAATTGGTGATATTAACAAAAAAAAGCCCTTATATAATAATGTTTTTAGGAAGAACAGCAAGATACTAATGTTTATATGAGAAAGTCTTTTGACAGAGAATGTCTACAATATAGATCAAGATGGGCAGCTAGGGTGTCTACAACCTATGGACTTCAACTTCCAGAATTCTGGGAGTTGAAGTCCACAGTTCATAAAGATACCATAGTTGCCAACCCCTAATCTAAATGGGAGCTATGCAGTTAGTTCAATGGCAGTTGGCTCAATCTCTGATGAATACATGGAGAAATGGTCACTATCCCAACTTTTTCCAGTACCCACCCATAACTTTCTAATTCATCATCTTTCAGAACATTTCCCCAAAGTCTTACAGTGTAACTATAATTGAGTAAATGGAATGTCCTGAATATTGACATTGCTATGGTTTGTTGGAAAAAAATATACTGTTTATTTTTTCTTACATATGTAAAGCAGGCATTCCCCAAGTTTATAATGCCCTGATTCCCAAATAAATACATATATTTGTGTGACTTTCTCGTCCTTCCTTCTATGAATCACAATGCCATTGGTTGTCCAGCCAGGAATGAGTCTGGTCTGGCAGTCATCCAACAAGAGAGGCTTGTATCCCAAAGCTGAACTGTTGTCAAAGCAGCAAATGCTCTTGCAGCAGCCCCCAATTCCACCCCTAAGTTCCACTGGAGGAAATTTGGCTAGGATCAAGGCACTCTTGGATGGCGTCATGTTTCCCTTCTTCTAAGGGCTGTTTCTTGCAAGATAACAATGATACAACAATAAACACTAATGTTACCTAGTTTGCTAATGAAAAGTCTGCAAGAAAACCAGCATGCTCAGAGAGCACCAAGGACCCCACAGGTAACAATAGGTTGAAGAGCAACCCTGCTCCTGTATCTCGGACATGGTCCAGTCCAGCATCAATTTCTATCACTCCACCAGATCTTCGATCACACAATCCCATCTTGCTTGACCCCAGAGTAATACCTTCTTAGCACTTGCCATCTAAGACAGCTATGCCATGGGAGATTCAGACGGCCTTGTTAGATCTGTCTGTTTCTCCCGGCATTTGGGTCAAGTGGGCAGATGAGCTCTGTTGTTATTGATGTATTATTTTTTTTCAATGAGTGATATTATTGTATATCCTTGGGTATGAGAGGTTAAAAAGGATCCTTGCAGTTAGGCAGAGTAGGTCTGTCCTTCTCAGCTTTGCAAGCCTGCAGAAGTCATTACCCAAGATTTGAGGATTTCTGATGACAGTATAGACATAGAAAGTGCAACTGCAGAAATGGTCTTTATTTTAGCATTTAGAACAGGGGTCCCCGGTCCATGGACCAGTACTGGGCCATGGCATGCCAGCAACCAGTCCACATAAACAAGCAAAGCCCCATCTGTGAGATGCAGGCACAAAACGAAGCACTCTCTGGTCCGTGGAAAAAAAACCTCTCTCCATGGCACCGGTCCCTGGTGCCCCAAAGATTGGGGACCTCTGATTTAGAAGATTTACTTAATTGTTCAGCTCTTGGAATTGCAACTCTGGACAGTGTAACTCAAGTAAAAACAAAACAGAAAAAATGATCGCAATTAAAAAAAAACACATTCAAATACAAAAGAAACAAATTCCATAACTAATATATTGGACAACATACAGCTGGGGTCCATCAAACCTACCCTCCACCTGTCAGAAGATGAGCTTATCTATCTTCCTGGCCCAATGCCTGGAGGAAGAAACAGTTTTTTAAGCTTCCAGAATGCTAGATATTTACATACTACCCTTCCAGTAACTGTCCTCCCCATCACCACACACATAGCTCAGAAAATCAAGACTCGGACATTACAGTATAAAAGAAGAAAACTGATAATTAAAAACTAGTAATAGGGGAAGATTAGAACAATTAAGTTGCAAGATTTAAATGTGCTGGGAACAAGATTTTTGCTTGACAAAAAATTGTGCGTTAAGTACTGGACAAGCAGCTTAAGAACTGGATGGAACACAGAGGCACAAGCATGCCTTTGAGATCAAAATAATTAGAAAGAAACACAGGTAGCTAAATATGTAATTTTATTTATTTGACTCATACCTTCTTTTGAAAACACAAGTATAGTAAGAAAATTTGTCAGATAATCAGAAGCCATGTTTTTTTTTTCCTTTTGGCCCAAAGTAACAATATTTTCCATGAGGAAAACAAGGATAACTCAAATTTAGAATGAGAAGGAAAAATCATTGTTCACAAGTTTCTGATCATCAGAATTTAAAATTTTTCTTTCCGTCCCAAAATTACCTTATTCTAATTTTGTTTCAATAAATTTACATAATATAGTTTAAGGATTTTATAACACCTTGGGTTTAAGGAAATTAAATGGAACATGCCTCTAGGGCAGCTATGCTGGCTCAGGAATTCTGGGAGTTGAAGTCCACGAGTCATAAAAGAGCCAAGGTTGCCTACCCCTGCTATAGGGGCAATATAAATACATAATATTTTTTCTTTATGCATATCTTGACCTGACTCAAGAACATAGTCACTTGCTATGAAATATGATGCTGTTCAATATATCTGATATCTGATCCGTAAGTTGCATTGGTCAGTATGATTGTCAAGAAATATGAAACAATTACTAAATTACTCCATAGGTTTTTTTTATCAAAGCAAAAGTTTATTAATGTGTAGTAGGACAGCTGATAACTCTTAATCTAGCAAGAAATTTCCCTACAGTGAGGAAATTTAGAAAAATAATGATGGGACACTCAAATTCCCCCATGCTGTTGTTAATATCTACAGTAAGTAATATCTCGGCAATACATGATTTCATTGCAGAGTGCCCATGATTGATAGTTAAAGACAGAACACATAAACTTGGCTTCCCAATATGTTCCATTTCCACAACTCCTTTTAGCAAATTAAACTTCAGACCCTCATTTCAGAAACTTTGTCATTCTGCAAACAAAGCATGTCGCAGTTGATACGAAAAAAATAATACATACTTTCTTAAAGAATTTTTGCCATCTCTGAAATGTGGCAGGTGGGCAGAGTGATGGCAGGAAAGAGGATCCAACAATGTCTTAAGGATCAAGAATGATTCCATGGCATATGATTAAGCTTTAAAAACATCTCCTTTGTTTGAAGTACTACTCTAATATCGTACATTGGCCCATGATTCACTCTAATTGTCTCTTCTGAACACAACTGTCTTGAGACTTGAAAATGG